CTCCATCCCTCCATCCCTCCCTTCTTCCATTCCTTCTCTAGTCTAGGGATGTAACTCAGGGCCTCTTGGATGCTAGGCAAGCAGTCTCCCACTGAGACACAGCCCCAGCTGATGCTTCTTTCTTCTCCATAGTAATTTGTTAACTCTGGGGGTGAATCCACTCTAACCCCAAATATCCCAGGAATCATTTATGCCACATTATTTGCAGCAAACTGTGAAGACCTGTATGTTTGTGTGTGTGTGTGTGGGGGGGTGCATTAACAACTAGTTGATAATGTGTTTTGGTTTTGCAGTTTACCAGGGAACAAATATATCTACTCAAGAGTCAGTTAGTAGCTGTTGAATCAGTAGAGTGTTACTCTTTGAAATGTTGTCAAGTTGATGGCATGACCCCATGATCTGGAGAAGCTAATGAATTTACCGGAGCAACCAAATCCCTAAGTAGGAAACACCTTCAAAATTAGACTGGGAATCAGGAAGATCTGTGGCTTGAGCCCTCAAGTACCACTGAAAGGCCAGCCATGGGCTGGACATAGGATTCAACAGAGCTCCAGGAGATTTAGGGTCACAGATTAGTTCATAAAATGTGATCACTTTAAAAGAGACTTGTAGAAACCACCTCAGATGTACGCTTCCTGCGAACCCCCAGAGCATTGGGTCACAGGTCCTTCTCTGTCTTCCTGACGTCTTGGTGCTTAGGCAGATCTGTTTTCAGACTCTCACTGGCACACTGTGCTAGACCGATCCTGCCCGAAGTCCTGAGATGGCAGGATGCAGGATTTCACCACCAATCACAAGTGACACTGAGAGTCAAAACCCTAGCCAGAGGTCTATATTTTAACGTCAGCAGATTTCGGAAACAGGAGCAAGCCCTTTCTCTCTCTATTGGATTTATAATCCAAGGGCTGTGTGGTTTTTTGAACTGTTCCCTCATCTCCCAGATCCCCAAATTAAAGAAGTACAGAGATAGAACAACAAAGCCACAAACCTCATAGCATTAAAAAAAAATTATTATGGCGGATTCTTACAGAGCTTCTGTCAGCAAAGTAAAATAATGACTGTCGCTTTTCTTTCAACACCAGACTTTATGGTTGCTGTCATCTTTATTAGAAAACACAGCAGATTTTGTAGTTACCCTTTTCAGAGCAAGCAGCCTGGTGTTATGTTGTCACATATGAAACTGCACTTTTGGGATGCCGATGCGTGAATACAGACTTGGAGCTAACTGTCAATGACTCGGAATAGCGTGGTTGGTTTGGGTTTGGTCATCCTGTCAGCATCCAGCTGAGTGGTTTCTCCTGTTCTTCCCCCCCTCTCTAGATCCTCAAATCAAAAGACTTAACGTCTCCAACCCAGCGCTACATTGATAGCAAGGTTGTGAAAACGAGAGCCGAGGGCGAATGGCTTTCCTTCGACGTGACGGACGCCGTGCACGAGTGGCTCCACCACAAAGGTTTCAGAGCTCCTCCTTTTTCTCTCCCCAGATGTGGCCCCGGCAGCTTGGGAACTGACTGCAGACATACACGCATGTACAAATGACTTCCTTAACTTAATGTTTTCCAGACAGGAACCTGGGATTTAAGATAAGTCTCCACTGCCCCTGCTGCACCTTCGTGCCCTCTAACAATTACATCATCCCGAATAAGAGTGAAGAGCTCGAAGCCAGATTTGCAGGTAATGGAAGCTTCATTCTCACTGTGAGAATGTCTTCTGAGGGTCGATGTCAGTTTGCATGTGAAAATGGCATTGTTCGGTGATGGGTGGGAACTTTCATTCATCTGGCGATGATCTACTTGGTGGAAGAGAGAAGAAAGAAGAAAGTGTGGCTGGAGAGATGGAGAGATGGCTCAGTGATTAGGAGCAAGTATTGCTCTTGCAAAGAATCTGAGTTCAGTTCCCAGAATCCACAACTGCTTATAACTCCTGCTCCAGGAGAATCTGGCGACCTCTTCTGGCCTCCAAGGGCACCTGCACTCAAATGCACACACACACACATGTACATAATTTTTTTATTTATTTTAATTTCATTTTACATTCCAATCACAGTTCTCTCTCCCACCCCACCTCTTGCCCCCTGCCTCACTACAAGCCCACCCCCCATCCACTCCTCTCAAAAGGTAAGGGCTCCCATGGGGAGTCAACAAAGCCTGGCCCATTAAGTTGAAGCAGGACCAAGCTCCCCACCCCCATTAAAGCTGAGTATAGGGAATAGGTTCCCACAAGCTAGCTCATGTACCAGGTATAGGTCCTGGTCCTACTGCCAGGGGCCCCTCAGATACCTCAAGCTTCACAACTGTCTCCCACATGCAGAGGGCCTGCCTAGTTCAGTCCCATGGAGTCTCCACAGCTGTCAATCTAGAGTTCATGAGTTCCCACCAGCTTGGTTCAGCTGTCTCCATCATGATCTTGACCTCCCTTGCTCATGTATCCCTACTCCCTCTCTTCATGGATCACCCTGGGAAGGGGAATTAGATGAGAGCTCCCGGGTAAGCTGGGAGTAAGGGGAGCAGGAAAGGGCAGTGATGGGGGAGGAGAACAAGAGGAAACAGGATGGTCGAGTTGGGGGAGGGGCAGAGAGGGAGAGCAAGGGAAGAGATGTCTGATAGAGAGAGCCATTATGGGGTTAGGTTGAAACCGGGATATTCCCAGGAATGCACAGGGGTGACCCCAGCTAAGACTCCTAGCAGTAGTGGAGAGGGTGCCTGAATATAACCAGGCCTTCCCCTATAATCAGATTGGTGACCACCCCAACTGTCATCACAGAGCTTTCATCCAGTAATTGATGGAACCAGATCCACAGATCCATAACCAAGCACTAGGCCAAGCTCTGGGAATCCTCTCATATACATAATTTTAAAATAAAAATATTTTCTTCTAAGCAGAAAGGATTGGAAGAAAGGAATAAACTCCAGATTTTCACTGCTTCACGCCTAGTGGTGAAACTGGCTAAGTAGCCCTGTTAACTATGGGGCAGTGAAGCCCTTTATTCCTCACCCAAGCAAGTCAGCTTCCTATCTGCTGAGATGGTTGAAGTAGATAATAGGATTCAAGGGAATCCATTTCTAACCTCAGAAGCAAAATTTCAAGCACCAAGAAGTACTTTTCACCAAAGACGAGAATGGTCTCCTATCTCAGTCTCTGTACTTAACCTTCCTTCTGGGTGTCAGGGCGAACCACCATTTTCTAGCCTGCACCCACTATTGCAAGTGTCTTCCCTGTCAGATTTCAGTGGCAGCTAATACAAAGGAGGTTCTCATTTCCCCTGCTCAGGTTGGAGCTGAATTCATCAACGTACAGAGTTAATAAAGATGCCGAGGGTTCAAGTCACTTGACTTACGAGACAGCGAACTGTTGGGTGAGGAGGTGAAAGGGAAGTCCAGGCCACACACTGTTGTGGCATCTGCCAGCCTTCCCTCATAACCTCACCTGGGACCTCAGTCCACTTTTAGAAATCCCCAGCAGCCCATGGTCATGGAAAAACACTCCCTGAAGGGGCAGAGATTTATTTTGGTCTCTAACCTAGCCTCAATTCTCTGAGTGGAGATTAAATGCTTAAACTGGCACTCTCCCGAGCATGCTTTAGGAGGCTCGAGTTTCTAAATCTCAGATGGAATCAGAAAAGTGTTGAGGATGCCATAAAGTAAATGAAAAAGCTCTTTCTGCACAGCTTCCCAAAATAGCATTAGGTAAGGGTGACTCCTGCTTCCCTTGAACCTAGCTCACGGCCATTTAGCTGCACCTCGGGTTATGCTCATTAGGAAAGTCTCTGGGTTGATGGTCTCCGGAAAAGAGGGAACCAGCAGGCGACAAGGCGTGCTCTATGGCTGTGTGTTCTGTTGCTGAGAGCTTGAACACAGCCCTCACTGAGGATGGACTAAAATAAACTGCCTAGATTGCCCTTGGACCATAGGTCAAAGACTCCTTCTGTAGTGACTTTTCCCAGTAATACCCATGCCTTCAACACAGAACTGCCGCCAGACAAGAGGCCCATTTAGACGTGTTTTCATTGTCCCTTGTGCGAGGCCCATTGTGGCATATCTGCTTCTGTGGGGAATGATGATAGCCAGTCGATGCAGCTGCAGCAGTCATCACGATTGTTTGTGACTGTGTACACGTGGGAAACTATATTATATAAATATTGCTGCTTATATTTGACAAAGGTAAAGCTAAATGTTTATTACCCAAATGTGTTTTTTCAAGGTATTGATAGCACCTCCACATATACCAGTGGCGATCAGAAAGCTATAAAGTCCATGAGGAAAAAAAACAGTGGGAAGACCCCTCATCTCCTGCTAATGCTGTTGCCCTCCTACAGACTGGAGTCACAACAGTCCAACCGGCGGAAGAAGCGCGCCTTGGATGCTGCCTATTGCTTCAGGTAAAGAAATGAACATAAAAACAAATGACTGCATCTGTTCACCCTTTGCTTTCTCCTTCACATATTGACCTGAATGGAAGTCATTGCTCAAGGACAGGTATAGACAGTAAAGCCATTGGATCTCATAACAGCGCTTTCTTTAGAAACAGGGACTTTCTAAAAATATTTTATTATTTATTAAAATATAATTATAGTACATCACTTCCTACCACCAACCCCTCACTTTCATCCTATGCTCTATCCCAAATTCATGGCCTCTTTTTCTTTAATTATTATTGTTTTACACACACACAAATAAATGCATAGATGCAACCTACTGGCTCTATTTAGTGTTGTTTATTTATATATGTTTTGAGCTGATCCACTTTGTGTTGGATAACCAATTAGGGGTGCATCTCTGGGGAAGGCTAATTCTTCATCTCTTAGCCATCATTAATGACCTATAGGTCTTTATCTGGGAGCAGGGCTCTGTGACATGTACCCCATCCTTGCTGGCATGTCACAGGTATTGTTTAGGCAGCCATGTCATTGAGGTTTCCTGAAGACTCTCAATAGTTCTTCCAGTGCAGTGGTCCTAGCCTCTAGCAGTGGACCAGGTGTGAAGAAAGAAAACAGGACCAGAGTGTTTCCTACAAGTCTCTCCAATGTGCTTGGATGCTGATAGGTTCTGATAGCTCTTGGCCCACAAGTTTCCTTGAGGTTTTGGCTAGATCAGTAAGATCCATCGTTTATAGGAATTCTTTACCTGAGGTTTGATCTCTTTCTGACGTATAAAAATAAGATGGCATAAGAAGGCTGATGGTCATACCTTGGGCTGCAAGAATTTGTTTGCCACTTTTGTATGAATGCCTGAATGGGAGAGGCATGAACTTCTGGGCTCCCCGTTGAGGGAGGACTGCTTGTTTGGAAGTTGTTTATCAGGGGCAGGGTCCCCTTCATGAGATGTTCACCATGTTATAGGTCAGAGACAGAAGAGGATATTTTGGTCACCAGAGACAGTGATTATGCCAACAAGACTTGATATTTCTTGAACTCTGATTCATTCCTTGATCTAGTAACAAGTGGTCAAGCATAGGATACATTCTCAAAGGGAAATGCCCCTGCAGGCTCTCTGAAGGTATATGTTGCATTTTATTTATTGTGTGCACAAAACAGCAGTAGAGGCTGGATGGCAGCTGTTCAGCAGGGAGACACTGTCCTTTTCAAGTGTCTCCTTGTTTACTCTTAGTACATTGAAGATTAATATTGATTTCCTAGGTTACAGACAGGAAGGTCAGGGTATAGAATGCACACTGAAAAGTAGCTCAGAGATTCATTTGGTACCTCACTGTTGACATGGTGTGAGATGACAGAGCCATCAAGGCCAGTGTCATGGTGTTTGCTGTGGCATGGAATACGTGAATGACTCATTTTTCTGACTCAGGGTGAGATGCACGAGAAATCAACTCTTCTTCTTTTAACAGAAATGTGCAGGATAATTGCTGCCTCCGCCCTCTTTACATTGATTTCAAGAGGGATCTTGGGTGGAAATGGATCCATGAACCCAAAGGGTACAACGCCAACTTCTGTGCTGGGGCATGCCCCTATCTATGGAGTTCAGACACTCAGCACACCAAGGTGAGTATCTGAATTGTTTGTCTTTCCTACTCATGCCTCAGTCATTCATGATAATGGCAATAATAATAATGATAATGATAATGCCAAACTCAATAGTTGTTGTGAAATACAACCTATATATTTAAGGTGAATATCTCTAAAACTTCACTTGTTTGGTGGTTACTTTTTTTGATACAGATCTCATTGTGTAGCCTTGGCTGGCCTGAAACTCAACGTGTAGATCAGACTGGCTTTGAACTTGGGGCATTCCTTCTGCTCTGTCTCTCAAGTGTTGAGATTACAGGCATGCACTGCCACATCTTTCTCTCTAAATCTTTATGATTAGGACCCAAAGTGAACAAATGGCTCAATGTTTTATCAAGTTTCTTCCATGTGGACAGAGGGTTAACTCAGCAAGAAGACCCAAGCATGGATCCCACGCATCCCCAGCCCAGATGAGCACCAACTTTCTCTGCGTACTGATATATTCATCCATGAGCTCTCTCTTTGTGGCTCATGGAGTAGAATTTTAGAGATGGGAAGGACTTCAGACATGGTCTTGTTCAAACAGAATTTTTCTAAAAACAAAGAAATTAGATTTAGATTGTGTGGGTGCCTTGCCCAAGATGAAAGCAAAAGCAGCGACAGCCCAGAGGTTGGACTGCAGCCCTGTTTGTTTTATAATCCGGTCCCCATTGCTCCATCTTTCTGAGCTTAATTCCTAAAATGTGGCAGCAAGTAGAGGTTTCTGCTCTGCTCTTTATGCCTCTGTAAATCTCCTTATTAAAGAGGCATTAGAAACATTGCCTTCACTGCAGGGTAGGAAAACGAATCCGCTGCCAGAGAGATCGCATTTGGCTGAATTCAAGAGTTGGGGGTTATCAATTATTTTAGGCAATGTATGTTATAAAAAATGGCTCTTCCTGCTTATGAACAACTATGTATTAGTGGAATATGAGGTCTATTTACTTATAAATGCCTGTCTGGACTGGAATTGAAATGGACAAACATGGCTTCCCCTCCTCCAGTCATTTTCCCAGTGTCCCTGTAGGCTTGGCACTCAGGGGTGACCACGTGCTTGGCCATGTGAGGGAAGCTGGCTCATGCCTGTCCCTTTGTCTGAGCTCTTTTGGCCAGCCTGCTTCATCTGGACTGCAACAGCAGTAGCTGTAACTCCGGGAGGGCCCTGTTGCCAAGTCAGAACGTAATTCTCCTCCCTGATACACAGAGGGAGTGTGTGAAGGCTGGGGCCAGGCTTGTTTTTCAAGGAGAAGGAAGAATAACTGTCATGGTCACAAATATGTGGTTTGGACAGTTCCCCAAGAAGCCAGAGGTAGCCTAATAAAGTAGTCAGTGTTGCTGTGCTCAACAGGTCTCTTGTCCTCAGTTGAAAACATCCCAGGGAATCTCGAGGAAAAGGTCACTTGTTTGACTAACACATTAATGGCATCCTTAGAAATGTCTCTGTCATCACTAGGTAACCTACACACTTCCATCAACAAGAGCCACACACTCCTGTGATGGAGACTGGGATAAAACTGCAGAACTATGTACAGCACTTTCTCTTCTATTGTAAGGACTTGGTATTTAGTTCTTGAACTTAGTCATCCCCATTTAGCACAAGGAATGTTAATAGAGGCTTAGTTACTATTATTGTTTCAAGCAAAATAGAAGAAAGTGAACGATTGGAACCATAGATTAGCTAGTTGGGTGGGGTAGTGCATGACTGTAATTCCAAAATTCAAGTGGCTGAGGCAGGGGAATGTGAGTTTAAGGCCAACCTGGGCTATATAGTGAGTTCAAGGCCAGCCTGGTCTGTCACAGAGTGTGGGCTACCAAGGAAGACTTTGTATCAAAGTGAAATGAAACAGAGTCCATGTGGCTTGCCTGTTGCTTTTTTAGTTTTTTTTTTTTACTTCTTTTTTTAGTTAGAGAATACTTTATTAGTTTTTGTAATCAAACCCACATAGATAAGACCTTACATAATTAATACAGTGTGTTACTCCTGTACAAATGGAAAAAAATTAAGTTCAACATTTCTAGACCAATATGGCTGTTAGTTTCTGTACAATGCCAACTCAACAAGGTAAACTGGGATACTTTTTTCCAAAGTTGACAGCACAGCTAAAGTTTCGCCTGTTGCTTTTTATAATTACATTACTCTAATTATAAGTCAGGGTAAGTAAAAGGGTTTTTATAAATAAAACTGCAAGTGACACTTCATTGGCCTGTGAAGACGTTTAACAGGAAGGTATCGTGGGGCAGGCAGGCACCTTTCTCTACCCAAGTGTAGGTTACAGTTCTTACAAGAGCTTCAATGGGATATTTTATCCCTCTGTCATTTTGTTCCCCAGCATGTGAGTCATATACTGTGCAGACAAGAGCTTCCCTGAGTTACAGACATAAACAAAGTGAGCAGCGTCCCTGAGCCCGGTGACCTCTTAACCAGTGTGGGAATGTAAAATAGGTATTCTTGGGACCTTGCTTCCAAATGTATAGAGAAAGGAGACGGAATAGCAGGAGGCCTGGGTTCTTTGTGCAGCGAAGGCCAGTAGCTTTATTGAAAAAAATAGGAAAATCTGCTAACTGAACAATTTGGTATAATCTGACTTTTTAATGGAATCATTTGTGTAATATGTATAAAAAGCACAAAAGGTGGCCTGTGGGAAAAGTCCAAATTGGTCATTACTAAGGACACAAGCCAATCCTTCCATAATTTAGAGGTAAGAAAAAAGTAGTTAAGATTGCCTACTCAGTGGCCCAGAGCTGAGGAGATGAGTCAGTGGGTAAAAGGCTGTAAGTACAAGAACCTGGAGTTCATATCCCCATCAACCACATAAAAGCGGTGGTGATGTGGTCGTGTACTCTTATAACCTCAGAGATGTGAGGGACAGAGGCAGGAGGATTGCTGGAGTTCGCTGACCAAGCCAACCTTGCCAAATCAATGAGCTACAGGTTCAATGAGAGATCAGCCTAATCGGCAGATATATAGATGATAGATAGATAGAAGAGTAGAAAGATAGATGGATGACAGACAGACAGATAATGAAGTGGAGAGAGACTGAGCAAGACACCCACTATCAGTCACTGGCCCCTGCTTGCAGGTGCATACACATGCATACATGCATAACACCCACTATCACATGCATACACATGCATACACATGCATACACATGCATACACATGCATGTAAGTACAAAGTTCAAGAGCAAATGAAACTAATCACTCGCTCGCTTGTGTGTGTGTCCTTGTGTTGTGCCACTCAGGTCCTCAGTTTGTACAATACCATAAATCCTGAGGCTTCTGCTTCCCCTTGCTGTGTGTCCCAAGATCTGGAGCCACTCACCATCCTCTACTACATTGGCAACACACCCAAGATCGAACAACTTTCCAACATGATCGTCAAGTCTTGTAAATGCAGCTAAGGTCCTCAGCAAGGCCACGGCACGAAAATCACGGTGACAATGACACACAACAGTGAATGACGACGATGATGTTTGTGACACGAGAGAATTTTGATTCATCAGTGTTTAGAAAAATTGGAGAAAAAGCGGTACTAGTTGAAACATTTTGCGAGCTTGTGTTCTGTTTGTTAAAACTGGCATGCGAGATTACAGCAACAACAACAAGGACAAAAGAAAACATGCAAGGCTTTAGTCTGTATTTCACCTACTTTGTGAGAGACACAAAAAGAAAACGTCTTTTTTTTTTTAAAGAAAAAAATAAACACTGGAAGAATTTGTTAGTGTTAATTATGTGAAAGAAAAAAAAAAAAACGAAACAAAACAGGAAAATCCATTCAGTGGAGTTGAACGTGTTGTTTCCACCCCTCACCTCACCCTGCTTCTTTCTCCCGGTTCCTCTGTATTGCTCTGCAGTGCACACTTTCCCTGTCCCTTCCTCTGAGCTGTCAGTGGGTTATTTATTGTGTGTTACTATATAATGAACTTTTCACTGCCCTTGGAAAACAAAACAGGTGTATAAAGTGGAGACCAAATACTTGGCCACAAACTCATGGATGGCTCAAGGAATTTGAACTCAAATGAGTTGCAAAAACAGAAGGTCATACAGGGACGAAGCCCCCCGTGGGTCCTTATATGACCAAGCAAGTCTGCAAAAGGATAGAAGCCCCAAGAAGACACACTGTGCACCAACTGCTTGCAGAAGCTTCCTGGACAGCCATACACTGAGATGGCCTGTTAACAAAGAAAACTTGGGGTCAGTGGGAATCTGGAAGATTGCTCTTTTTTTTTTTTTTTCATTTCGTTTAATTGTAAATGGTTCTTTGCCAGTTTAAGCAAGCCAGTGAAATGTTGACCTGTTTTGACGTGTATTGTCAGACTTTGGACCGTGAAGTGTCTGGAGAGCTCTGATACAGGTTTTTTCCTTTGTCTTGGTATATGTAATCACACTGATACTATTAAAATAGATGGGTCTAGAAGCCAGCATAATTAAAAACACATCTGCAGATCTGTTTTTACAAACTATTAAATCAAAACATTAACTACTTTATGTGTATTATGTAGATCCATACCATATTTTTGATATTCTGTAATAATGATTATGATTGAACTTAAATTTGACTCTCTTTTTTAATGATCATTCAAGATTGTATGTTCATTTCCTTTAGCTGGCCAGTACCTTTGAATAAAGCCCCTAGATTTTGACTTGCACTACAAATTCATTTTTTAAAATAATATCTCCTCTGCTTGTCTCTTATGTATTGTCCATTTAATGACCTGGGTTCGTTTCCCCCTCTTTCCTTTTCTTTTCCAGAAGACAAAAAAACAAAAACAAAAAGGTGTGTTTGAGTTCTACAGTCTTCCCCCATCTTTTCTATGTCAGTACTAACTAGTCAGGTGGGATGACAAAGTTCTCCTGGCAAGATGGAGATGTGTTCACACAGATAGTTGAACACAAGCGTAGTTTCAGAGAGGGTTTAAAATCTGAACTCAGAACCCTGGTAACTGGGCAAGGAAAAGTTTCTCCAGCTTTCTTTAATTCATATATTTGTGGAATTTTGTTGCTGTTAAAAAGCAGACAGTTAAGAAAAAAAAAAAACCACCTTTTTCTTTAATCAGACATTTGATTCCACGGGTAGAATTGAAAGACACACACTTGGGTTGGATTTTTCAGACCGCCGTTTGTCATTTCATTCTTTTCCCCGAAGTTCAGGTCTTGAAAGAAATTCTTTGAAGGCTGAAAAGGCACAAGCCAAGTTCTCCCTTGTCAAAATCTCCCTGCTTTCATCTGCGTGAGAATGCTCTACAGCTGAGGTTGGCTTTGGCTTAAGGAAATAGGTTGTCCTATTTTTCAGAGGTGGGACCTGACAGTGGGCTTTGTCACTTAGCTTCAAAATACAAACTAATCCACAAAACAATGGTTATGATCTTACCCAAATATGGAATTTATGGAATATTTATGGCCAAAGGGCAATACATTGAGGTGTGAATACAAAGAGAATTTCTTTGATGTGGTACATCTATCTGGAGAGTTTTCTTCAAAATTCATGAAAATGAGGAAAGGGATTTGCAAACCAGAAGACAGACGGCAAGCGATAGTGAATGTCTCTTGTGTCCTGAGCAACACAAACCCAGATGTGCCTGTGTGCTCATTTTCTGTCCTCTTTCACTCTTCTGTTATTTCTGTATAACCCCCCATTTCTGCAGATATTTTCCTCTCAGATAAAATGACCGTTTTTGCTCTGTATGATTTGTCTCTCCTTCTGAATGCACTGACTGTTCTTTTTAAAGGTTTCTTGAACTTCTCTCTCTCTCTTTTAAAGTCTGTGGGGTCTACAGGGCTTTATTTCCTATTAGTAAATATTGCCGTGGGAGGGATAGTAGGAGCGGGGAGGGGTGTGTTAGCATATGGGTGGGGGGGGCAGCAGATTGTATGTGTTAAGCCACAGTACAATTTTATGGTTGGCATGGTTTTTAAAGAATGGAATATAAGAATAGCTGTTATGTGTTTTGATGACCAATTATGCTGTATTTTAACACAATGTATGTCTTGGTTTTTGTGGTGCTCTAGTGGTAAATAAATTATTTCAGTTATATGTTGCTGTGTTCTTCCTGTCAAAGGATCATGTTTGAGACCAGAAAACACATGTGACATAGTGAGATGACTGTACCACTGGAAAAGGCTGTCTACTATGCTTTTGTCACACAGCTGTTTGCTCCGGAAATACCATGTTGTGGCTTCAGAGCCAGGACAGAGCTATCAAGGACTGAAGAAAGGCTTCGCTGTCTTTTTATTTCTCATTTATTACTATTTGGTAATTGTTTGGGATTTAGTTTCCACCCAGCTTGACTGTCTACCAGGAAAAAAAAATGCAGAGATATTTGGGCCATGATTAGGCTTTCTGGTTCTATGTTCTGCCAATCCCAAGGCCAAAAGAACCGGTCTAGACAGGATCCCCTGTCGCCCCATAACTTGGATAGTTACTGAGCCAGCCAGATATAACAAAAGCCATGTGCACAGTTACTTCTGTCTCAGTTTTATCCATAGCACTGTACACACACACACACACACACACACACACACACACACACACACACACACACACACACGTGCTATTCCCTCAAATCTCCTTGGTTCTCACCTATGGTACCCTACTCACGTGAGTTGCCACCCACTTAATATAGAACTGGTGATAAATTAGATGAGACTCTGTCTGCTGTTCTTGCTTTTCCAATACAAGAACTTAGTTGGTACCCACTGTGTTGTCCACATGTCACAGAAACAAGCCATCCATTTGAGCATGGAGGTAGAATAGAGGATGGGTCCCTTCTCTGCCATCTCATCTTGTTTGATCTTAAGTGGATTGAAGCCTTCCACTCTGACCTCAGTCCAGGGTTCTGTGTAGAGTGAGCTAGTCAGATCTGTCACCCATCTAGCTCGTGCTAGTCACAGTTAATGGATGGGTGAGAATGAGTAGTACAGGCCAGGCAATGAAAAATACCCACCCAGGAGTCCCCAAAACTTTAGAGATTTTCCCATGCACTCCCTTTACCAACTGTACCTTTCCCCTCTTCCCTCACACCCCAAGACAGGGTTTCTCTGTGTAACAGCCCTGGCTGTCCTGGCGCTCGCTCTATAGACCAGGCTGGCCTCAAACTCACAGAGATCTGCCTGCCTCTGCCTCCTGAGTGCTGGGGTTAAAGGCGTGTGCCACCACTGCCCAGCTCCTCCCTCTTCCTCCATCCCTCCCTCCCTCCCTGTGATGGTAAGGGGGGATGACCGAATGCAGGGCATTGTGTTCACTAATCAAATGTAGTCTGGCTGAGCCACACCCCGGTGTTTCATTACCTTCCAGTGAAGAGAATACCCGATTTGCACATCTGCCTACTTGTTGTGGACAGCCATGAGGGGAAACCCTGAAGTCCTGAGTGCTGTTTTGGCTCATCACCAGCATCCATCTTCATATTCTTATGCCCATGCTGTGTTGGGTCAGGGCAGTCCTTGCAGTAATGAACTCTTCATTTCCAGACTGTACCTCGGGCCCACACATCTCCATCATGCTACTCAATGTGTAAACCTCTCCAGACCCATGTCTCTCAAATGGATCAAGCCATCAGTCATTCCTGAGGATATTTCATAGTTCTCTAGACTAGCCTTCGATGACAGGACAGAGCCAAATTATTCAAAAATACCTAGTTGAATGAACTTCATTGCGTGGCAACAGTAACTGTGGCCCACTACCAGATCCTCTTAGCTGATTTTTCTCTCACACTTAACCTTTTACGTAGATTTTTTTAAAGATTTATTTTATTTAAATTACATATGTTTTGTCACACTTGAGAGTCAGAGGCAGGTGGGTATCTATGAGTTCAAGGGAGCCTGATCTACAAAGCTACAGAGAGAAACCCTGTCTCCATAAAACAAAAACAAACAAACAAAAAAAGTGTGTGTGTGTGTGTGTGTGTGTGTGTGTGTGTGTGTACATGTGAGTAAAATGCTTGCAGAAGCCAGAAAAGGGTGTTGGACTTCCTGAGACTGAGTCCCAAGGGAATCCGGGTCCTCTACAAGGGTAGTTAGCTTTCTTAACCACTGAGCAGTCTCTCCAGCCCCTAACTATATTTTATATAACACCATGTTATAGGAGAATAAGTGGGATCTCACAGAGGACTGACCGCTTCCCCACATCGATACAGTTTGCAAGTGGAGGTCTTAGAGCAGTGTAATCCAATACATGAGTCACATGTGTGCGTGGGAAACTGAAATATAGCCAATCTGCCTTGAGACAGGTCTAGGTATAGAATACCCACTAAAAATTTTAAGACTTAGGCACAAGCACATGCACAACTTAGACTGTCTCAATATAATCATTTTTATACCTACTACATATTGAAATATTCTGGGGTATGCTTGTGTTAAATAAAGCATGTGGTTAAAATTAATTTCACCTTGTTTTCTTTTTTATTTAAATTAGAAACAAGCTTGTTTTTCATGTCAGTCCCAGTTCCCTCTCCCTCCCCTCCTCCCCTGGCCCCTACTGACCCCCTATCCCATCCCCTTTCTGCTCCCCAGGGAGGGCGAGGCCTTCCATGGGGGATCTCCAAATGCTGTCTTATCTTTTGGAGCAGGGCCTAGTGCCCCACCCCCACCCCCGTGTGTGTGTCTAGGCCGAGAGAGTATCCCTCTATGTGGATTGTCACCTGGTTTTCTTTTAAACTATTTTACATGATTACTAAAAAGATTATTATTATTATTATTATTATTATTATCATTATTATTTCAGTATTTTGAGTTGAGTTCTATTTTATGAGACAGTTCTGAGGCAGATTTTGTTTTTCTCTTCTCCATTTTCTCTCTTTTGTGAGATGGGCTCTCACTATGTATCACAGGCTGTCTCATCCTCCCAATACTGGGATTACAGGTGTCTCCACTAGCACAGCTATAGAATTTGACAGCCCCTCTGCCTGGAAACAAAGCAAAGCTATTCCTATAAACTGTGCTATTATTATCAACCTTTGTTTTTGTAATTAATGTGTGATTGAACAATATTAGGGCCTACCGTGTGAAAGTGCACTTTTGGTCAGTCAACCTTTAGGGGTCAACCTAACACCAAGTCCTCAATAACAAAGGTTGGAAGGCAAATATGGACCTTTCAGAAGCCTCAGTATTCAAGTTCCTGTATGATTGGTGGTTGCCTACCAGCAATGGAGTGGGGAAGCTCAGCCCCTTCCTGAGCACACTGAACTGTAGAACCAAATCCTTTCAACCCATAAAGGCTACATTAATGTTCCAGTGGCAATCTTTCCTACCCTGCTTAAGAGAAAAACAAAAACCTGAATTCTCACCGTGAATGCTTAAGTCATTGGTTTTGAGACAATGTTGATTTTTCAGCAAAGAAGATATGCAGCATGGCTCTAGCTATTGGACATTTAAGGGATGGAGTCAGATTTCTACCTCTAGGATACTTAGCCCAAAATTAACACGTTTCACTCACAAGTCAAAGCTAGAGGCTGACAAGGTGCACACAGATATGAAAAACCAGGACATGGAGCCTGCAAGATCTTTCTGGAAAACTCATCTTTAGCAACTAATTCCTTTGTTTCTATCAAAGGTTGTGACTGTACTTCTAGCAGAATTCAGACTTCATTCTTTCTTTACTTACCTCCAAAGTTGCCAGCCCCATTCTCCATTGCTCCCCTTGGCTCTG